TCTGGAATAATCCAGGAAGGCATTATTGGGCAGTCTGCATAAGCAAACAGCTGCTTGTATATTCCTGTGGGTGGGTTTTCCAGCCAGATACTGCTCTGCCACCTGTGCTGTAGAAAGGCCATGTGAGAGCTTTCATTTGATGGTAGGGTTAATGGTTTGGTACAATTTGATGCAGTCACAATAGTATGAAAGGTCAGATCTGTCATTTTCATCAGTTCTTGTGTTTTGAAGAAGTCATGCTCCCTAATTCCACTGCCACCCTGTGCCTCTATGAACAGTACTATTACTTGATTCTCCTCCAAACCATTTTAATCTATTTCTCTAACAAGGCTTTCTATTCAAAGAGAATAAAATTGCACGTACTTTTGCTGGAACCTAGATAGCTTTTGTGATTTCTATTGTCCATGAAAGTTACAGAAATGAATGCCTAAAACTACTTTTTAAAATTCTCAGTTACTACAAACGCAGATTAATCTGTCCAAGTAATATCTCATTTTCTGCACTTATTGTGCACTTTATTGTCAGTGTTCACAAAGGAAACTCAGTAATGCACAATTTCTTTTCTGCATTCTGTTTCTTCTTTCATTTTCACAGTTTCTGTCTCCTTCCCTTATGGCACAGATATTGAAATAGCAAAAATTCAGGGGCATGGGACATCATTCAAATTCCCTCCACACAAAACTGCTTTGCATTAAATGAAGAGCGTGCTTTTAAAGACTTGGTCAACAAAGAATGGCCCTGTTTATAATCAAAAAGGATAAAGCCAACTAAATATTTTTTTCTGTGTGCTTTCTTTTAAATCTACAGAGATTAATCAAAATTTTATCTTCAGTGATTAAGAGAAAAGCAAAATGTGGATAAAATGCATGCCAGATAGATAATAATTTGATAGGGCTATCTTGGCTTGCTTCTGGTAATTATCAGTTACAGTTATGGTTAGGTCACACCATTTCATTTCACAGAAAAGTATGCACAATATTACTCAAATGAATTATGAAAATAAAATCACTGGTCAATAGAGTGTGTCTTTTGGTGTTCACAAAATGATGTGGCTTTTCATGACAAACCAAAAACTCTAGCACTTCCAAGAGAGCAGTCACAAAGTGAAATTTCTAAGAAGCCGTTCTCTCAGTAACATTCTTGAGAGATCAGTGCAGAGGATGGTTGTGGCAGGTATTCTGTACCTTGCATTCCATGCTTCATTATCTTATTTCTTACTCTTACACTCTCTTCCAAATGAATTAAAAATAAACAAATAAATTTTTAAAAAGCGGGATTTCAGTTAGTGACTGTAATTCACCTCAGGAAGCTATCTGTCTTGTGGATGCCCAGCAAGGCAGTGGAGCTGAACTATCCAACAGGTTGCACATTTTGGCCATGGGCAATATGCCCATTCAAACTTCCCTCCAGGTGCACAGATTCTCAGAAGTTGGCTGGTGGCACTTCAGTTTTCAAAAATCAGTAACATTTTATAATATGTAGATTGGATTCAGTAATGGAAAATGAATCAACAGACTTACGTTCATCAGATGTTAATTATAAAGTAACATTTACACTTATCTCTCTGCTTTCATGTGTTAAAAATAGTCTTGATTCTGAATAACGGTCTCCTCTGTGACACAGCAATCTGTCCTAACTCTCCTTTGCCAAGGAACAAAATGTGACTGGATTGCCCATGGCCCATCAGTCAGTAAAGATTTTCATGTTTCAGTGTAAACTGTAGAAAATTCCTTATAGCTATTTGGTAACAGATGAGAGCAGACAGGGTGGTTTTAACAGTGTTTTCCCTAATGTTCCTGCTTCTCCCAGCAGTAGATAACTGTTTGCTGACTTCCAATGGCAGCCATAGTGCTCTTGCCTCTTAGCTTCAACCTGGGGGCGAGTTGAAGGACCTCTGTCTTTAGTGAAGAAATATGGAATGTTTCTGACTAAATCTGAGGTCAGGAGAGCAATTTTGAAGTGAATCATCAACCCCAGTTGACCAAGCTTTGGTCTACACCGCAGAGCAAAGAGAGTTTAGTTGTGAGGTAAAGAAAACTGGAAGATACCCTTCAGTTGCACTTCTACTGAGCTCAGGAGCTAATGGTTGCTCACATCATGGAACTAACCTAGTCTAAAGAAAAGACCCTCAAAATGTCTACAGCATATAGCATGGGGTCGTTGGGATTGCATCCCTCCACAGATTTCAATCTGCTGTGCATCCCTGCTTGTTATACAGATGCAGCAGGAGGATCCAGCAAGTAAAGAGCCCACAAAAATTTATCAAAGTATCAAAATGTTCACCAACACAGGGATTGGTTTCATAATTTATAGGCACAACCGTTAGAAATAATTTCAGAAGTTTCAAAAGGTTGTGTTATTTGCTTCAAGCTGTGATGTTAAAATGCATTTGGAACACATTCAGGAAAAAAAAAAAATCATGAATTTTTGAATGTGAGATTCTTCTCTGAAGCTGTCAAAGTTTTTAAGGGCATTTGGTACTATTTCCAAGCCTTTCTACAATTGCAAATACAAGGAATTCACTTTTAAAAAAAGAACTGTATGATTGCTAATACTGAAATCTCTTATGTTTTTATCAAAAATACATGTTCTGAGTTCATGCCAGACTTCAAGGCATTTAATGCATCTAAATATTTAAATGGTGCTGCCTATAACTGAGAAGATTCTGTTACAATCTTTTGTCAACAATTTCTTTCCTAGCAATTTCCCTATCAAAGCTTTTGTATTATGATTACTATCATTTACTTGCCTTTATTTAAATTGCACATTTAATGCAATGATATGTACCCCACATGACTGCACAAGAAGCTGTATCGTTAGTAAGCCAGTTGAAACACATTTGGAAAATAAACTTTGTTGCAATCACTGAAACTCTTTATGAGTTTTTAAAAGCTCCACTATATAACAGAACATTTTGGTACCTATTTCAGTTAACACAAGAAGACCTGTGTAATATGCATAAATGTTGTACTGTTGCCTTTTGTTTTTAAATGTAAAATGTTTCCTTTAGAGAGAATGTGTTTCTGTGTCTACAACACTTAACTCCATAGGACTTGGGAAATCACAGTTGTCCCCCTGTTCAGTCATGAGCTCCCTGTATGACACTGGCCAGCCGCTCCAATGAAGACCACCATCTAGAGGTGCCTGCATAGTTGTCACTGGGCTAACCAAACTACTTTTTCTTACCACATATGTCAGTCTTCGTCTGGTCATGGGGGAGAAGTCTTCACAACACTGATGTTGGACACCTGAGGTGTGCAGGTCTTCCATTCCTTCGAGACCCTCAGACTTTAATTTTCCAATAGACAAAACTACCCAACAACACTGCAGGAGTACAACATGCTCTCCCAGTGGCTGCATGAGGCAGAATAGGTCTTCTCCTCCTATGCTGGCCTGTGTCACCGGTGTGTTGTGGTTTCTAGAGTTGCAGCAGTCTCCAGAAATTGCTGTGAACGTTTGAGGTATGTTCTAACTGTGGTTGAAGGACTTCATAGGGGAAATAGAGACTAAATCAATACCCTGAGAAGCAAAATGTAATATCGGTAAAGCATGGAATGTCATCCTAATTCTGTCCGTGTTCAGAATGGAATAGGACAATAATTTCAGCAGTGTGCTTTCAGTGCAGCTATTGTATTAAAAGAAATGAGAGCTGTGCACATTCTTATCTTTCTCCAGCCGTATTTTGCAGATGACAAGCTAGCAGAACAAACACCCTTTTCTGATTGTTTTTAATGCTGCTAGGATACAAGACATGTTCAATGTCAAGCAAGGAGAAAAAATAATAAAGGGGACCCAAAAGGCAGGATTCTTCAGACATCTCTTTACATGCCTCTTCTCCTACAAAGATATTTCGAGCTATATGTTGTGCCAGTGATTCATCGGGTCTTTTACAACGTCAAGCTTTCAGCTCATATTATCAATGGCCCTGTCTTTAACAGACAACCTCCTATGTTTTGACTAGCCCTTCATGCAGGATCTTTCCACAACCTCCACAATGAAGTTCTGGTGGTGTGGGCAGCTGGCTGGTCAAGCCCTCCTCCAAGGATATTTTGTACAGCCACACTTTTGTGCTTAGAATTACACATGTGGTCACACACTTTATTGGATGAGGGCTTAAATGAATATAACATTATGTTTGACTATCAGTAGACATCAGTTCAAAGTCATTTGACTCTTCAGGGAATATTTGAGTTATTCTTTGCAAGTTGGCACTTGGTTTCAAAAGAAAAACTTGAAATCCAAACTTCCTTAGCAATCTTAGTTCAGAGAAAGCAAAGTCTTCCATACAACCTTGACCTGAGATGCTGCTTTCACCAGTGGTTTCTGTAAAGCTGTATGTCCTTTGGGTGGGTTATTTAGTGTCCAAAGATTCGTTAACTTAATTAATCATGCACTGGTGGTTAGAAATCCATTTTTAAACTGATGAATCATTCAAACACCACCATTCTGAGCATCACCTACAGGCTCTCAAGACCTCATCAGGGCCTTTCTGAGTAGGAAAACAAATAAAAAAAAAAAAAAAAAGAAGAGCAGCCATGAGAAATACTAAATGACAATTTTATCTGCACCCACTATTTCAGGATCACAGGGCTTTCTGATTTTCCTACTGTAACATCAAGGATTAATTTGGTCTAATCTGTTAAATGCAATACTTTCAGACCCAGTTATATTGTAAGTTATGTTTTTTATATGCAGGCTGCAAATATATGTCTGACTCTGTAGATATGATTTTAATAGCAGCAGTGATTTGCGTGTGCCAAGGTCAATTTTGAAGCAGCCCCACCAACATACATACCTTGCACTGTGTGTGCAGCAGCTGGTGTATTGCCACAGGACTCAGGAGGCCTGGCTCTTGTCTGGGTTCTAATTTCCAGTTAATAAGCTGAGATGTCAGCAATTAGGATGGGCGAATGCAGACTATCATGTAACGACTAAGAATTGGTACCACCATTTCTCAGTCCATTACTGGGGTCTATAGGCACTGCAGACTAACACTGAAGGTAAATTGGAAGTGTGTTTATTGCATCAGCTGATATTCAGTAGGCCTGAATATGGAAGCAAAGTGACAGTACAGGAATTGAACAGGGAAATACTTCTTTGTTTCAAGTACTTTCTCATATTAAGGACATTATGCTAAGGATTTTATAAATGGATCCTCATTTCTGGCTATATTTTTAATTATCTGGATGACATTTTCATTTGTTGCAGATAATGAGTTTAGCATCTGCCTATGGCAACACATGGGCAATGTTTCAGAGCTGTTCCCAATTGCATTTGGAGACGTCATAGAAATTTGTAAGAGCTTCATTTATTTCCACCTGCCAGGAGATAGTGGGGTCATGGCACTCTTCCAATGCTAAATACATTTCCTGGTAGCTAGATTCACTTTCTTTTACTGAAAGAGGACTGCATGCATTTGAGCCAAGGCTGAGGTCATGCATGACAACAGAAGCAGTTTATTCAGTACTGAACATCTCATATTTGATGTGATAAAGACTCCATGTTCAGAAGAAACAAAATAAATATTCTGGATAAATCTGCCAGGTGGGTTATGAAGCAGATTTGCTGGTCCATGGTCAGTCATCGCGGTTAGAGATTCACTAAGGAGAAGCTGAAGAAGGGGAGTTTGCTAACAAGTTCTCTTGTTTCAGCTTACAAGGAAAAGATGAAGGAGCTGTCCATGCTCTCTCTGATCTGCTCCTGTTTTTATCCTGAACCTCGCAACATGAACATCTATAAATATGATGGTGAGTAACTTTCACCTGCAGGTCAGATAAAGTGCTAATGTTGGGACGTGACTCAGTTCACCATCCTGGTACCTAATGTTAGACAGAGAATATTTTGCTTATTTAACCACTTCTTTTGCTGATTTGGGCTATTGCCTCATTGACTGTGTATTATTACTCATGATGCTTGATATTTTTTCTAATAGCAACTGGCTAAACTCCTAAAGCTGTATCTTTCATATGGTGCTGTATTTTTCCTAGTACATGGGAAGAAGTGCTTCCCATGTGAGAATTACGTCTTCGCAGCTGACATCATAGTTCCCAAAGAAACCCAGAAAAGATGAAAGCATGCTTAAAATTTAATCCGTTTGGGCAGAGCTTGCTGGAAGTGTGAAATGACACAGAACCCCAGTAAGCTTCCAAAACTGCTGTAAATTTTTATCTTCATAGGGTTCGTGTATAAATAAACTATTGCAGGTAAAATGGGATGTACTTCTCCCAAGGACAATTTTCAGCCCATAATCTGCCATTTTCTTTGAAATGCCCACAGCAAAGATGCTAAATCATTTGTCTGTATTTCTGATCCTACACTAATTTTTGTACTGCTTCTCTCCTTAACACCACCACAGTATTGAAGTGCTTACCACTTCTCACTTTATTGTGCAGACATGGAAGTTAAACAAATCAACAAACGTGCCTCGGGCCAGGCTTTTGAACTGATCCTAAAGCCACCATCCCCAGTCTCGGAAGCACCACGAACTTTAGCCTCTCCAAAGAAGAAAGAGCTCTCCCTTGAGGAGATCCAGAAAAAGCTGGAGGCTGCCGAAGAGAGGAGAAAGGTATTTTTCGTTAAGAAAATATTAGTGATTGTACCCAGCAGTGTGCAGGATAACATCCAATTTTCCTATCTATTTTGTATGTCTCTCATCTCCATGACTGACTCACAGTGTGCTAGCGTTGACAGAAGCTACTAATATGTTTAAATCGACAGGTTAGTTTATTTTCTTTCAGCGACTTGCAAACATCTGACTAGTCCGGATTTTTAGGAAGCATGTGTCATAAAATACAGGTAGTTTTGAACACAAAGTCCCAGTGGGTTCAAATTTATGTGCTTTCTCTCTGTGTGTAAGGGTACATTCAGAGTACCTATGATAGTTGCTGAAAGCTGGTTCAGTCTTGATTTAAGAGACAGATATGCAATTTGAACAGCTACTGCCTGGGTACCAAATATTGACTCCATGTAGGGTCCATGGAAATTAATCACAGGGCCTATCTGTGTCAACTGAACTGTCTTATTTATTCAGTATGGAGACGTGCCATCCCTGAATAAAGAGTGTTCTGGATTGCTCACCAGACTACTTGATTGAAGATGCTGTCATAGCATTTCTAGCAGACAGTCTGAGTAGTGCTGTAAATAGGCCTTGTAGAGTTATCTACTGAGTCTTTTCTCCCTTATGGTCTTACCCATAACAGACAATTCCTTTTTTATAATCATTAAGCTTGTCACAAAGAGCTTAGAAAGGTTGGTAGACCGTCTAGCAATTAGCACAAATGCAGTGTGTCTGCAGCAGAAAGACCCCTGCATTTACAGAATCTTTTGTAGATGTGGACAACAACGTATACAGAAGTTCAGGGACAACAGATATGCCAGAGATAGAACATGGGGTATCTCCAGCAGCAAAAGGCTCTCTGCTCTCCTTTTGCTTCTGTCAGACCAGATCAGGGGTCCTTTCAAGAGATCTGGAGCCATTACAGCTCTATGTGATGAGAAGTGAATCCCCTGAAGTCAACAAATCTGACATTTATTTTAAAAGTATTCCTTTTTATTTGTGATGAAACTCTGAATCTCATTAACTGGAACAATTCAGTCATCCAGATGTTGCACATTAGTTTTATAGCTTCAGTCTTTGTTTTTGTCAAGGCATTCTCTTCAGGGGAAGGACATGTGTGTATGTGAAAGGATAATCACACACACTAGCCCCGGCCCAGAAGAATGAGTTGTGGCACATCCATGTGATGGCAAGCTTCAAGGACAGTCTGTGAAGTACTTCTGTAATGAGTACACATTCTCAAGAAAGGATACAAACACAGAATGAAATGGCAACAGTTAAGAAGCCCAATATTATGCATATACTTAGTGGGAAGTAAAAACTGAATGTTCCAGAGATTTCATTTCATTGATTTCATTACTGTTCATTTCTTCCTAAAGGAAAACTCATTACTGCATTCATTTTGAATGAACATGTAGCTAAATGAGCTATTTTAATAGACAAGATCTTCCATGTTAGCAATGCAGCAGAAATTGCAAGCAAAGGAACAAAGAACAGAGCAGAAAATCTCTCTACATCACTGTTAAAATCCTTGGTGCTCCTACATCCCAAGCATTGCCTGCAGTTTTAGTCTAAAAAAAAGCATATAATGCAGAGAAGAGAGAAAAATGCAATCACAGGGATAGAACATCTTCCATAAGAAGGTAAATTAAACAGTCTATTTCTCAGCTTGGAGAGAGACAACAGATGGAAGATAAAACAGAAGTCTTAAAGTCTTGAATGGTAATGAGAAGATAAGTAGGAACAATTATATTCTGTTTCACACATCCAAAGGGGAAGAAACACTCAACAAAATCAGACAACAATTTGAAGACAGAGAGAGGGAATTACCTTTGCATATATCATTTAATCAAGTTTTTGAATTTGTTACCATAAGCTATTTAGATGTTATTTAAATATTAATTATTTCAAAAAGACATTAGCAAAATTGGTAAAGAATTACCTTGTAGAGATAATGTGACAGATACAACATCTGCCTCAGACAACATGTAACCTGGTGGAAGCTAGGAAAATGCATAGGAAAGAATCAGGCAGAATTGCCCAACTTCATGTATACTTTCCCAAAGCATCTTCTGCTTTCTGCTGCTGGACAAGTCAGGCAGATGTTTTCTGAGATCCAGCATGGCAGTTGTGATCATGCTTTTTTATCTATGTACCTCATCTATTAGGCATAACCATTCTAGATCATGTCCTTCCAGCACATTTCTCATTAAAATCAAATATAACTAATGAATGAGAATTGTCTTCAAAAATACATATACTCACTGGTTTTACACTTTTTTTAGGACTTAGGCCCTGCTCTGCTAATTAGACAACATTTGCATAGAACATCTGCAGCAATACATGCATTGCTTTGCTCTGTAAGCCCATGGAGGGGGTGCATCCTCCTGTTCTCCTTGTCCGTTCAGTCATAGCTTTGGGAGAGCAGCTGTCTCTCCCTGTGTCTTGGCACACTGGTTGGGACAGAGAATTCTGACAACAGTCAGAAGTGGTTCTAATAACTAAAAGTACACCCAGTGAGGAATATGCCATAAGTGAGATCTAACTTATAGAATGGCTTGGATTGGAAGGGACCTAAAGGATCATCTAGCTCCTATCAATTTGTGCCCATTTCCTTGCTTTTATGCAGGAAAGCAACTTCATTTCTGCTACTGAAAACATCATATAATTAATTCCTTCTAATTAAGAACTTTTTATTAGGAAGTTATATGTTGGCATTTGCATTGCAGTAGAAGTCTTTAATCTTACCCTGTAGTATATCTTAAATACACAATACAATGAATAATACCAAAGTTATTGAAGCTTCTACTGAAGAATTTAATTTAAAATAAATCCATAGCATCACCAGGGTTGGAAAAAACCTCCAAGATCATCTAGTCCAGCTCTCCACCTACCCCCGGTATTCCGCTGCTAAATCATGTCCTTCAGTACAAAATCTAAATGTTTCTTGAACACCTCCAGAGGCAGTGACTCCACTACCTCCCTGGGCAGTCTGTTGCAGTGCCTGGCCACTCTTTCAAGGAAGAAATTTTTCTTAATATCCAACCTGAACCTCTCCTGGTGCAAATCAAGGCCATTACTTCTCATCCTATTGCTGTTGTAAGAGGCCAACCCCCACCTCACCACAACCTCCTTTCAAGCAGTTTCAGAGGTCTCCCATGAGCCTTCTCTTCTCCAGAAAGCATGTCTCATGCTGTGTCTCCTACATCCTAGTAGCTAAAATAGTCAGGGAAGTTTCTTGTTTAAAGTGTAATCCTTTATCTCTGAATAAATGGCTTAAATATTGGGCAGTATGCATCAAAGAAAAATAGATCAATGTGAGAAAATAAGAGCATAGAATCATAGAATCATAGAATGGCCTGGGTTTAAAAGGACCACAATGATCATCTAATTTCAACTCCCCTGCTATGTGCAAGGTCACCAACCACCAGACCAGGCTGCCCAAGTCAGATGAGTGGAATTTTCTTACTGTAATAATAGTAATAACAATAATAATAAGACATTTCAAAATACAATTTCCATAATTTTGCTCTTAGAATGCTTAGTTGTCTGCATCTATCTCTGACCAGCTGAGATGCGGATTTCCTCATGAAGGACTCTGAAAACTGGGATTGCGTATCGTCCTCTAGAAAGTGACATGAATGTCTGAAGGAGTTTGCCTGCATCAGTAATCTTTTCAGCACAGTAGTACATTTCTGGGAGCAAAATATCTATACCAGGAATGTCTAACAACATTTTTCACACAGAGCATGTTGACACACTGGAACAGGTTGCCCAAGGAGGTTGTGGATGCCCCATTCCTGGAGGCATTCAAGGTCAGGCTGGATGTGGCTCTGGGCAGCCTGGTCTGGTGGCTGGCAACCCGCACACAGCAAGGGGGTTGAAACTGCATGATCATTATGGTCCTTTTCAACCCCCAGACCATTCTATGATTCTATGATTTTTATTCCTCTATATCTGGCATTAGAGGCTGCAGCTGTAGCTGCTGTGATTAAACCTTTTTATATTTAATAAGTCTTCTGAATATTCACCCAGAGTATTCTTTTTTTCCTTTCTCCACCATTTTACGCTTAATCTTCTTTATCTTCCATCCCACTTCCAGATTTTTATACACATTTTCTCATAATAGCTCTGCTAGAAGCATTTATTGTAAACCATTTACAAGTGCTTTAAAAAATGGAATATGAGAATACCTTTTCCAGCACTTCAATACAACGTTGAAAAATAAATATGCAATAAAAACTTCCTACATGTGTTAGATCCCACATCAAATCTGTCCAAATGCATCAGTTAAAAGCCAACACCAACAACAAAGAGTCCATTAGTTCCAGGCACACTAGATATCAAGGGCCATTCATTTTAGTAATTTCTGGATATCTAGCAGGCTTTGAGCAGACTGGGTGGCCAAGATCTTTAGCCAAATGTATCTGAAACACAAAATCATATGACAATCCAGTACAAAAATGCATTGACTGGGTTCCAAAATTGTCATAAGGGTATTTCAACAGAGATCTGAACGCAGGGGAAACAGACAGGCTCACAGCTGGTGTAAGTGGCATTAGGAAAGGGACATCAGTGTAAATGACACTCTCCTCCTTGTGTGCTTTGTGATGAGAAGGGGAGCCCTTATTCTGAACAATTCCCAAGTACCCTGAACATTTTGTGTGAGGAAAAGGGACGTCTTGTAAGGCACATCCTAACGAACATCAGAAATGTGCAGTTAGTTCCTGAAGCATGGCAGAGTTTTAATTTGGACTCTTTCTCATGCCAATGCAATTTACATTCAGAAAATACTGCATTAATTTGTAAGTAAGTGTTTTCTTCATTATCTTGCATTAGTGACCAAATTAATTTTTAAAGTGTTGCCTGCCAGCAAAGCCTCTAGAACTGTGTGTACTTTGCTATGGAGCTCTAATTTTTCACTTTTCTCATGGATTTATGATAATAGAAAGTAGTTCCAGAAAGCAAAAGGTTTCAGTGGAAGAAAACAAATCCTGACAAACAAGCAAGCGCCCCAAGGACCCAAAGGCATTTAGATAATATCTCCCACAGAAAGCCAGTGTTCTTTCAAAAAATGCTGCTTAGAAGCACAGTCCAAATCTTACTTTTTATTATGGGATGCATCCTTAGACGTATCTGTTGTCCAAATCTCCACATTCTTGATCATATATATATAATGGGACTTTATATTCCCATTTGCAATGTTTTGTCTGGCACATCAGTCATTTTGTCTGACTCGATTGCTCTATTGCTATCTGTTCAACATGTGCTGTAGAGGTAATAGCAGTGAGGATCACTGCAAGGTACCAAGCAGCTCAGTGCAGCGCTCCCATCAGCTAGCTCCAGAAACTACAGCTGAGCAGCAAGTCCAGAACTGCAATCAGGCTGGAGGTGAAAGAAAATCCAATGAATGGCCAAGAATGACAAAAGTAGCTTTATCTCTGATCTCAAGCAAGCTGTTCCAACCTTTGAAAGCCAGATGGATTTAAATCCAGTCTTGTTGCAAGATGTTCTGCCTGGCTTCTGCAACCTTGTCTATAATCTGCTTAATTTGCCTTGTCAGTATATTTTGGCTGTATGTGTATCCTACCTTTGTTAATATATTTGTTTTCTTCTTCTAGCTGGATCTTCCACATATAAGAAAACAGCAGCTCTTTTTCACTCCATTAAAAGCCTCACAATATTTTAATTTAATTTAATTTAATAGGATTAATTACTGCTAATTGTAATTACTGGTTAAAACCCTTAATTTAGGCCTTAAGCTAGTCATTTTTATGGATAAAAATGGCAACAGTGTATTGTTATCTGTGCTGAAATATACATTTAGCTTCCCACAGCCATATTTTTTCCCTGTTTTCTGTTTGCCTCTCATTTTCCCTCTAATTTATTTTTTTTCCAAGAGCATACAGTGCTATTTATAATTTCCAAATATCCCCTCTGAAACACAGTCTTTTCTGCTAGACTTGCCTGAGGATGGGCCCAGTGCTGCAAATTCTCTGGTTTCTCTCCTAGGATTAGTGGATCTGTGTTATTAACTTGATTTAAAATAAATAACAAGCCTTGTGCTTCTGAGAAATAAGTTTACAAAGGATAGTATACTAGAATATGTTTAATTCCTACCTTCATTTTTCATCTTTCTTGAATAATTTAAGTGAAAATACAATTCTTACATATTCTCTGTATAACATAACACCCTTTTTCTTTCATATTTAATGAGGAG